GGTAGGCCTCGTAAAATGCAATATTATTAAATCCAGGAGGTTTGCGGTTAGGCTTCTCTGCTCCTCCTCCGTCGACCGCTTCTCATGCATAATTACTGAGAATTCCATTAGGATAGTGGTCTCCAGAATGGGGGAGGGGTGAGGGGGGATCAGGTGATGGGTGAGGGGAAGGGGTGGGAGAAGGGGATGAGGGGAAAGAGAGAGGGAATGGTCTCCAAGACGATAGGGGTGAGAAGCGAGACCCCATTCTGTGCCCCCTTAATATCTTCCCAAACGTCCCCTTGGTGTGAGTGTAGGCACAGTCAACAAAGACCTTGAAACCACTTTAAGAAAACCTCTCAGGATCATCTAGGAGGAAAATCTCTGGAGAATTTGGTGGAGAATTCCATTATCTACAACAGGGTGTGTGTGTGTGTTTGTGGGTTATCTACACCAGAGTGTATGTGTGGGTTACATGTAAAAATCTAACTGAATACCATCTCTGTTCCTCCAGACTGTTAGTCGATCCCGGCGGATTCCAGGTTTTATAACCTTTAGCATGTCGTGGTTCTGTGAGTGTGTGGGGGGGCCGCTGGTTTCATCGCACTGTTCTGCTCCAAACATTTTCTCATAGATGTAGTATGAAATTATTATTTCATTGCCTATTATCGAATATGTGCATACTTTAAGCATTAACCAAATACTGAACATTAATTGGATTGTACACAAGATAAGTGAATTTTATACAGGATTTTAATACATTCGGATAAACAAAATTTGTGTCAATAAAGTCTTTCGTGTGTGTGTACTCGCCTAGTTTTATTTGAAGAAGACAAGCTCCGACTCTTAGATTAAGTTGCATACTTTCTGAGCCTTCCTTAATGTGAGCAGCCTGACGTGGACCTGCACGAGACCGTCGCTCTACACACCAGGCCATAATGTCCGCTGTAAGGAGGTGGCTTAACAAGTACTTAAATGACACCACCGCTGACAGTACCTGCTTTCAGAACCGAATTCTTTTTCTCGGATTTCTACCCTATCATTCCTAACGCTTGTCGCAACCAGTGGAGTGAGAGATAGTTGGCTGTTACGAACATCAACTGAGGAACTAGTAAGTTATTCCCCATGGTTTCCCCCCAGCCACTATAACAGGAAGTGGGAAACACCTCTGGCTAAGTTGTGGTCACACACTATTACCTTCTGGTCACTTAAAGCAACGGGGACCTGCACACTTCCGCCAGGACTCAGGTGTTCCCCATGAAGACATGCGCTTCTTAGAATGTTCTGATTGTAACAATAGTGGGAAATTTGGCTTTCTCGGTGTTGCTTTGAGTCGTCTGTTCCTCGACCGTACACAATGGGTCAGTGGTGTTGGCAGGTGGGTCACTGTTGGCAGGATTATTAGTGGTGTGGGTTCCAAGCTTAAACCCCAGCCTAGTAACTGTTCCCCCTTGTATAAAAACACGCTTTAAGGGGCGCTGTCCCTGAAATACACAGATCTTACTGTATGTCCCCAGATCGACTTGAGAATGGTCCAGGACGGACTGAAACGTCGTCGTCCCTTCATTTTCTAGTGTGTGGTCTGGTCGACATACTTCAGCCACGTTATTGTGACTCCTCGCCTGCAAAAAGACCATTCCTCACAAGATGTTTACCCCCCCCCCCCCCTAGCAGGTGCATCTCTGCCTTGTTGGCCAAGTCCTCGTGTCTCCCGGGCAGGTCAAAATGCACTTCTTACCTCTCAACGTCACACGCAAATATTCCCAAATTGCAAGCCGCTTAATGCGCTGAAACGCGAAGGTAAAAACAAACCGAAAATCCGTAACGTGATTAGGAAAGCAGAGCACAAAGCCGAGGTCTGAGAGCGTGAGTCGAGGCTTTGATCCCTTTGCGGACATTATGAAGCCGGCGATAAAATGCGAGAGAATGACATAATTGCATCAAAGGTGATATGCTGGCTGGTGAGAGAGAGATGAATGTAAGTGTTGACACCCAGTTCTGGGCGTGAGACGTCTGTCATATTTACAGCAGACATGTATCAAAGTCGGATGTTTTGTGTTGTGTGGGTGAGGCTTCAGATCCCGTCTTCTGTTGCTGTGGGGAAGCACAATCAGAGCTTCTGATCAGGGCACAATCAGGGCCGCTCACGACGGCCCCTCACTCGTTTAATGGGCCTTATAAGTAGCCATACTACATACGTCAGCCCGTTTTCGTAAACAATGAACAAATGCACGTTAATCCAACTGTCAAATTCCTGGTTTGTGTAATTCAAAACAACAAATCCACAAGGGTCGTGACGAGGGTTCGAACCTACGTCCGAGAGGATCCCAGACGTACCCTTAATCTTACATCCATCAAATCTAGTCTCCGAGAACAAACCAGGGTCAGAGTCTACTTTAAAATATACCTGCCTTAGACAGAAAACTTCATCCATAAATCTAGTCCAAATCAATCTCTTTCCGGACGGTGACGTGTGGAGGAATCTCAAGTGTGTTTACGAGAGACAGTGAAGGCACTCAAGACACAAGGTCATCCTTTCGTCTGTAAGTCTGGAGACAGAGTGAGAATGTCTTGTATTGTGACGCCTGTCTTTTGCCTCAGATCAGGTGGCGTGATTCTCTTTGATGTGAGGTGAGGCAGTGAAGTGAGGCGTCACCCCAGCTGGGTTATGTGAGGTGAGGCAGTGAAGTGAGGCGTCACCCCAGCTGGGTTATGTGAGGTGAGGCAGTGAAGTGAGGCGTCACCCCAGCTGGGTTATGTGAGGTGAGGCAGTGAAGTGAGGCGTCACCCCAGCTGGGTCATGTGAGGCACTGTTCATTCACACTCTCAAACGTTCCTCATATTACGAGTGATTTATATAGTTATTGCTGGTGTATATAGGAGTGTGTAATTGTGGATATCTTAGGGGGTGATATCTTGTCCTCCATTCTGGCTCTTGTCCTCCAGTCTGGCTCTTGTCTTCCAGTCTGGCTCTTGTCCTCCAGTCTGGCTCTTGTCCTCCAGTCTGGCTCTTGTCCTCCAGTCTGGCTCTTGTCCTCCAGTCTGGCTCTCGTCCTCCTGTCTGGCTCTCGTCCTCCAGTCTGGCTCTTGTCCTCCAGAGTCTGGCTCTCGTCCTCCAGTCTGGCTCTCGTCCTCCAGCAGAGTCTGGCTCTCGTCCTCCAGTCTGGCTCTCGTCCTCCAGTCTGGCTCTCGTCCTCCAGTCTGGCTCTCGTCCTCCACAGTTTTAAAGCAGAATTTTTCTTGTGACTTTTAATATTAACTTTGACACCTCAGGTAAAAAAAAACTTTATTAAAAATTATTAACACGCTTCTCGGCGGCCATAATTTTCCTCACTTTATTGACATTTGTTATAAACTTTATATACATTTTTTTGGTCATTATTTAGAATTTTGTAAATAATTTGATTATTAACTGTTTAACTGGCTTCTTATTTACTTTTCTTACTTCGTGGTGAAATTTTGGGGATTTATGAATTATGGTTTATAATTTTTTGGGGGTTTTTAGGGTTTTTATTTTATTAGGTTTTCTACTTATTTATATTTGCTGGTATTTATGTCTTATGTTTCTGTAAGGTTCAGTCAAAGGAAACCTCGATATATGGACCATTATACAGGATTTTCATTTCATTCTGGGGCTTGAGCACTATGTGTCATTTATCATGGTTTGGTTCCCTGCTTCTTTCATCTTGGAATGGTTATCATCTTCTATCATCATGGTATGGTTATCATCTTCTATCATCTTGGTATGGTTCCCACTTCTTTCATCATGGTATGGTTATCATCTTCTATCATCATGGTATGGTTATCATCTTCTATCATCATGGTATGGTTATCATCTTCTATCATCATGGTATGGTTATCATCTTCTATCATCTTGGTATGGTTATCATCTTCTATCATCATGGTATGGTTATCATCTTCTATCATCATGGTATGGTTATCATCTTCTATCATCATGGTATGGTTATCATCTTCTATCATCTTGGTATGGTTATCATCTTCTATCATCATGGTATGGTTATCATCTTCTATCATCATGGTATGGTTATCAGCTTCTTTCATCATAGTATGGTTATCATCTTCTATCATCTTGGTATGGTTATCATTTTCTATCATCATGGTATGGTTATCATCTTCTATCATCTTGGTATGGTTATCAGCTTCTTTCATCATGGTATGGTTATCATCTTCTATCATCATGGTATGGTTATCATCTTCTATCATCTTGGTATGGTTATCATCTTCTTTCATCATGGTATGGTTATCATCTTCTATCATCTTGGTATGGTTATCATCTTGGTATGGTTATCATCTTCTATCATCATGGTATGGTTATCATCTTCTATCATCTTGGTATGGTTATCATCTTCTTTCATCATGGTATGGTTATCATCTTCTATCATCTTGGTATGGTTATCATCTTCTTTCATCATGGTATGGTTATCATCTTCTATCATCTTGGTATGGTTATCATCTTGGTATGGTTATCATCTTCTATCATCATGGTATGGCTATCATCTTCTATCATCATGGTATGGCTATCATCTTCTATCATCATGGTATGGTTATCATCTTCTATCATCTTGGTATGGCTATCATCTTCTTTCATCTTAGTATGGTTATCATCTTCTTTCATCTTGGCATGGTTCCCTATTTCTTTCAAACAGGATACCAAATTTTTCGAGAACGTGACATTTGTTGTAAATGTTTCATTGTTCATTTCATTGTTGTAAACTTCCTAAAACCATAGTTGTAACTTTCCCTAAGAAACGCGAGTTCGATCCCATCTCATAGCCTCAATACCTTGTCACTGAAATATTTCCTTATGACATCGTTGTGCTTTTTCTTAGATAAACTATGACACAGAAGTTAGAAAATATAACACGAGGCCCAGGTAAATATAACTGAAATTCAACAAAAAGGAGAAATTCTATGAACAAGTTACGCTACAAAAGAGTGTAATAGATTTAATGAAAAAGGGGAAAATGCTGCGAGAGAAGGCATTACTAAGACAAAAATCTTCAATCTTGGGCGGTGGCGCTGTGCTTTAGTTCCTCCATAAATCTAACCTGTCGCTCCTGCAACAGAAAACGACGTGGAACAAATTGTTTTGAACCAGTGATTCTTACGCGGGAGTCTATGTACCGGTAGAGAGGCTTCTGGTGGTCCGTAGTGGTTCCCGGTGGTCCGTAGTGGTTCCTGGTGGTCCGTAGTGGTTCGCGGTGATCCGTAGTGGTTTGCGGTGATCCGTAGTGGTTTGCGGTGGTCCGTAGTGGCTTCCGGTGGTCCGTAGTGGTTCGCGGTAGTCCGTAGTGGCTCCCGGTGGTGCGTAGTGGCTCCCGGTGGTGCGTAGTGGCTCCCGGTGGTCCGTAGTGGCTCCCGGTGGTGCGTAGAGGCTCCCGGTGGTCCGTAGTGGCTCCCGGTGGTCCGTAGTGGTTCCCGGTGGTCCGTAGTGGTTCGCGGTGGTCCGTAGTGGCTCCCGGTGGTGCGTAGTGGCTCCCGGTGGTGCGTAGTGGCTCCCGGTGGTCCGTAGTGGCTCCCGGTGGTGCGTAGAGGCTCCCGGTGGTGCGTAGTGGCTCCCGGTGGTCCGTAGTGGCTCCCGGTGGTGCGTAGTGGCTCCCGGTGGTCCGTAGTGGTTCGCGGTGGTCCGTAGTGGTTCCCGGTGGTCCGTAGAGGCTCCGGGTGGTCCGTAGAGGTTCACGGTGGTTCGTAGAGGCTCCCGGTGGTCCGTAGTGGTTCGCGGTGGTCCGTAGAGGCTCCCGGTGGTCCGTAGTGGCTCCCGGTGGTCCGTAGTGGCTCCCGGTGGTCCGTAGTGGCTCCCGGTGGTCCGTAGAGGTTCGCGGAGGTCCGTAGTGGTTCGCGGTGGTCCGTAGTGGTTCGCGGAGGTCCGTAGTGGTTCGCGGAGGTCCGTAGTGGCTCGCGGTGGTCCGTAGAGGCTCCCGGTGGTCCGTAGAGGTTCGCGGAGGTCCGTAGAGGTTCGCGGAGGTCCGTAGTGGTTCGCGGTGGTCCGTAGTGGTTCGCGGAGGTCCGTAGTGGCTCCCGGTGGTCCGTAGTGGCTCCCGGTGGTCCGTAGAGGCTCCCGGTGGTCCGTAGTGGCTCCCGGTGGTCCGTAGAGGCTCCCGGTGGTCCGTAGTGGCTCCCGGTGGTCCGTAGTGACTCCCGGTGGTCCGTAGAGGCTCCCGGTGGTCCGTAGTGGCTCCCGGTGGTCCGTAGTGGCTCCCGGTGGTCCGTAGAGGCTCCCGGTGGTCCGTAGAGGTTCGCGGTGGTCCGTAGTGACTCGCGGTGGTCCGTAGTGACTCGCGGTGGTCCGTAGTGACTCGCGGTGGTCCGTAGTGACTCGCGGTGGTCCGTAGTGGCTCCCGGTGGTCCGTAGTGGCTCCCGGTGGTCCGTAGTGACTCGCGGTGGTCCGTAGAGGTTCCCGGTGGTCCGTAGTGACTCGCGGTGGTCCGTAGTGACTCGCGGTGGTCCGTAGTGACTCGCGGTGGTCCGTAGTGACTCGCGGTGGTCCGTAGTGACTCGCGGTGGTCCGTAGTGACTCGCGGTGGTCCATGGACTACTTAAGCTTGTTAAGCCTCACGGCTCTGAAGGACGACACCGGGACGAGGCAGTTTGGGATGAATTAACTACCAGCTGTAACGAGCCTGGTGTGCTGCTGGCGGCTCTGCTTCCAAGCTCTTTAATAATCACTCAAAAAGACAGCTCTACAATGGGTAATTTTGTTGTCTTATTCGAGGATTCCTTTTGAGGATACCTAACTACCTATGTTGTGGGAAAAACTAAACCCTCGTTGGTGGGAACTACCTCGTTGCTGGGAACTACCTCGTTGGTGGGAACTACCTCGTTGGTGGGAACTACCTCGTTGGTGGGAACTACCTCGTTGGTGGGAACTACCTCGTTGGTGGGAACTACCTCGTTGGTGGGAACTACCTCGTTGGTGGGAACTACCTCGTTGGTGGGAACTACCTCGTTGGTGGGAACTACCTCGTTGGTGGGAACTACCTCGTTGGTGGGAACTACCTCGTTGGTGGGAACTACCTCGTTGGTGGGAACTACCTCGTTGGTGGGAACTACCTCGTTGTTGGTGGGAACTACCTCGTTGGTGGGAACTAAACTACCTCGTTGGTGGGAACTACCTCGTTGGTGGGAACTACCTCGTTGGTGGGAACTACCTCGTTGGTGGGAACTACCTCGTTGGTGGGAACTACCTCGTTGGTGGGAACTACCTCGTTGGTGGGAACTACCTCGTTGGTGGGAACTACCTCGTTGGTGGGAACTACCTCGTTGGTGGGAACTACCTCGTTGGTGGGAACTACCTCGTTGGTGGGAACTACCTCGTTGGTGGGAACTACCTCGTTGGTGGGAACTACCTCGTTGGTGGGAACTACCTCGTTGGTGGGAACTACCTCGTTGGTGGGAACTACCTCGTTGGGAACTACCTCGTTGGTGGGAACTACCTCGTTGGGGAACTACCTCGTTGGTGGGAACTACCTCGTTGGTGGGACTACCTCGTTGGTGGGAACTACCTCGTTGGTGGGAACTACCTCGTTGGTGGGTGGGAACTACCTCGTTGGTGGGAACTACCTCGTTGGTGGGAACTACCTCGTTGGTGGGAACTACCTCGTTGGTGGGAACTACCTCGTTGGTGGGAACTACCTCGTTGGTGGGAACTACCTCGTTGGTGGGAACTACCTCGTTGGTGGGAACTACCTCGTTGGTGGGAACTACCTCGTTGGTGGGAACTACCTCGTTGGGGAACTACCTCGTTGGTGGGAACTACCTCGTTGGTGGGAACTACCTCGTTGGTGGGAACTACCTCGTTGGTGGGAACTACCTCGTTGGTGGGAACTACCTCGTTGGTGGGAACTGGGAACTACCTCGTTGGTGGGAACTACCTCGTTGGTGGGAACTACCTCGTTGGTGGGAACTACCTCGTTGGTGGGAACTACCTCGTTGGTGGGAACTACCTCGTTGGTGGGAACTACCTCGTTGGTGGGAACTACCTCGTTGGTGGGAACTACCTCGTTGGTGGGAACTACCTCGTTGGTGGGAACTACCTCGTTGGTGGGAACTACCTCGTTGGTGGGAACTACCTCGTTGCTGGGAACTACCTCGTTGGTGGGAACTACCTCGTTGCTGGGAACTACCTCGTTGGTGGGAACTACCTCGTTGGTGGGAACTACCTCGTTGGTGGGAACTACCTCGTTGGTGGGAACTACCTCGTTGGAACTACCTCGTTGGTGGGAACTACCTCGTTGGTGGGAACTACCTCGTTGGTGGGAACTACCTCGTTGGTGGGAACTACCTCGTTGGTGGGAACTACCTCGTTGGTGGGAACTACCTCGTTGGTGGGAACTACCTCGTTGGTGGGAACTACCTCGTTGGTGGGAACTACCTCGTTGGTGGGAACTACCTCGTTGGTGGGAACTACCTCGTTGGTGGGAACTACCTCGTTGGTGGGAACTACCTCGTTGGTGGGAACTACCTCGTTGGTGGGAACTACCTCGTTGGTGGGAACTACCTCGTTGGTGGGAACTACCTCGTTGGTGGGAACTACCTCGTTGGTGGGAACTACCTCGTTGGTGGGAACTACCTCGTTGGTGGGAACTACCTCGTTGGTGGGAACTACCTCGTTGGTGGGAACTACCTCGTTGGTGGGAACTACCTCGTTGGTGGGAACTACCTCGTTGGTGGGAACTACCTCGTTGGTGGGAACTACCTCGTTGGTGGGAACTACCTCGTTGGTGGGAACTACCTCGTTGGTGGGAACTACCTCGTTGGTGGGAACTACCTCGTTGGTGGGAACTACCTCGTTGGTGGGAACTACCTCGTTGGTGGGAACTACCTCGTTGGTGGGAACTACCTCGTTGGTGGGAACTACCTCGTTGGTGGGAACTACCTCGGGAACTACCTCGTTGGTGGGAACTACCTCGTTGGTGGGAACTACCTCGTTGGTGGGAACTACCTCGTTGGTGGGAACTACCTCGTTGCTGGGAACTACCTCGTTGGTGGGAACTACCTCGTTGGTGGGAACTACCTCGTTGGTGGGAACTACCTCGTTGGTGGGAACTACCTCGTTGGTGGGAACTACCTCGTTGGTGGGAACTACCTCGTTGGTGGGAACTACCTCGTTGGTGGGAACTACCTCGTTGGTGGGAACTACCTCGTTGGTGGGAACTACCTCGTTGGTGGGAACTACCTCGTTGGTGGGAACTACCTCGTTGGTGGGAACTACCTCGTTGGTGGGAACTACCTCGTTGCTGGGAACTACCTCGTTGGTGGGAACTACCTCGTTGGTGGGAACTACCTCGTTGGTGGGAACTACCTCGTTGGTGGGAACTACCTCGTTGGTGGGAACTACCTCGTTGGTGGGAACTACCTCGTTGCTGGGAACTACCTCGTTGGTGGGTGGGAACTACCTCGTTGGTGGGAACTACCTCGTCTACCTCGTTGGGGAACTGGGTGGGAACTACCTCGTTGCTGGGAACTACCTCGTTGGTGGGAACTACCTCGTTGGTGGGAACTACCTCGTGTATAAATGTGGACAAGCAGGACAGGAACCACTCGGTATGATCTTGAGAGGTTATCTTGAGATGATTTCGGAGCTTAACGTCCCCGCGGCCCGGTCCTCGACCAGGGCCTCCTTTCTTGTTACCCACCCCCCGCGGAAGCAGCCCGTAGCAGCTGTCTAACTCCCAGGTACCTATTTACTGCTAGGTAATAGGAGCATCAGGGGTGGTGAGAGAGACTCTGCCCATTTGTTTCCGCCTCCACCGGGGATCGAACCCGGAACCTCAGGACTACGAATCCGAAGCGTTGTTCACTCAGTTATCAGGCCTCTAAAATCCATTACCATCCCCGTTACTGAAGGTAAACAAATAGAGGCGACCGTTGTGAGTCGTGAGATTGTGAATTGTGAGGTAAGAACTGTCCGTTGTGATATATGATTAGAGGCTTCTATAGTCAAGATCAATTGTGAGGGAAAATGGAGAAGGAAGGTTTGAAAGCTTCAGAAAAAATCTTCGGAATGGATTTTGGCAGGCATGAGTCCATGAAGGTGAGGGAGAGATTCTATATGTCAGTGATAAGACCAGTGATGACGCCTGCAGCTGAAACCTGCTCGATAAACTGGAAGGAGAGAGAGAGAGAGAGAGAGAGAGAGAGAGAGAGAGAGAGAGAGAGAGAGAGAGAGAGAGAGAGAGAGAGAGAGAGAGAGAGAGAGAGAGAGAGAGAGAGAGAGAGAGAGAGAGAGAGAGAGAGAGAGAGAGAGAGAGAGAGAGAGAGAGAGAGAGAGAGAGAGAGAGACACTCGGGTGTGACCTTCTCTACAGCCATGAATGTCGTCCTCTGAAACAAACAATATTCTATATGTTTAAGAGATAGAGGAGAGTCGGCCTCAGTGTGACGAAATGATACACGACTTTTCGCTAGTTGCTCGGGAGACGAGAATCGTGCCAGAGACGTGCCAGGGGACGTGCCAAGGAGCGTGCCTTGTGGGGTGCCCATCAGTAAAAGAGGTGCTCCGTCAGAAGATTTGAGTTCACTTGATTAGTGGTACTAAATTTACCCTCACTGAAGCACACACTGAAGCCCAAACTGAAGCACACACTGAAGCACACACTGAAGCCCAAACTGAAGCCCAAACGGAGAAGCAAAACATTATTTTTGCGTCGTACAAAATCAGTTTATATAAGAGTAAGGCTGAATACTTCCGCTCCTGCCACAGTATGTTAAGCCACAGACACTATAAAAGCATCCCCCCGATGCTCGAGATATGATTTTGTTTAAGATTCACTACTTGGAACAAAAAGATCCAAGTAGCACGGGCTATGGTGAGCCCCGTAGTGGACTTACCTGGCACAGGAGCGGGTCTGTAACTTGAATCCGCTCGAGGTATACTGTAGTGTTTCAGAAGAACAGTTTCCTACATGAGAACCAACACCTGTAGGAGGACAGTGTACCAACACCTGCAGAAAACAGTGTACCAACACCTGCAAAAACCACATACTCACGCCACCAACCATAACATAATAAACACCTAACAAATCTAACTTCACTCAGGCTTAGTTAACTATATCCTTCAGGGTTAAATATTTACAAATATACTGTTGTCGAATGAAAGAGAAGAAAAGAGAAGAGAAAAGAAGAGAAAAGAAGAGAAGAGAAGAGAAGAGAAGAGAAGAGAAGAGAAGAGAAGAGAAGAGAAGAGAAGAGAAGAGAAGAGAAGAGAAGAGAAGAGGAGCAGAGGAGACAACATCCTGGCTGCTCGTGTATCGACAGGCACCGGCAAGAAGGCCAGCCCGCACCATGGGGATCGACTTTCGATGTGAAGCTTGCGAGGAAATTTAAGTATCCCATTCTGTATCTTTCCCCTTTCGAAATATGGAGTTGAATAGACAATGTTGCACAATATCGTATGTGAGTTTGCACCCGATGCCGGAGCGCAGTGATTGGTAATAGAGATATGGGTCATGCAGTGATTGGTAATAGAGATATGGGTCATGCAGTGATTGGTAATAGAGATATGGGTCATGCAGTGATTGGTAATAGAGAT